CCCCCACTTTGCACCTCATGCAGCACAGTCTAGACCAGATTCATTCAGGAATGGCCTGTACGAGCAAGCAAGCGAGTTGCATCGTTGGTAGGGTACACTGCGCCTGCTATGAGTAACCATGGTGTGCCGACGCTTTTCAGCGTTGGAGAATTTGCCTGGCATGACGTTCGTGCGAAGGCGTGCCTGTGTGCGTACACCCTCAAAACACACACGAATGGGGATTCCCCCTGCGACGCTGCTGGCGGGAGCCCCCGCTGGCCACACCGGTGTCACCTCGTCTGGGAAGGGCGAGCGCAGAGGTATCATAACGTAGTTGTTTCAACGAAGGTAGAAAAAAACTTCGAGGAATGGGCGGATATCAAAGAGCCGTACGGTCGAAGACGTGTAGGTCATTGGAGTTGAACGTAGAGGTATGTGTGGTGTTTTGCGGATGAATTGTGTGGTATGCCGAAAAGAGCGATGAGCGTCAGGCTAGGTACAAGGGTGAGTGAAGATGATCCCAGGCATGTGCGTGTCTGGCTATGTATGTGTGCGGTGTCCATCAGGCCTTCTGGCTCCATGGGCACAGCACACACACACACACACACACACACACACACACACATACAATTAGTTTTATGTCTGCCAGTCTTTCTTCTGTTGTTTGCCCTCCTCCTGATTTTGTGTGCCCAACTGAGCACCCTTAAGTAGTGCCAAACAGTCGGTGGTTCCTCGTTTGGAGTGCCCACTGCACTCTTAAGGGGGCCGCTTAGTTCGGGATGTCTGTGTTGCCTGTGGTGATGACGGATGCTTGTTGGAGTGACTCCCTGACTTAGTGGGTGGTGGGAACGGACAGTCTACGGGGTTCAATTGTGATGTGAGTAGGCCATGCGCTGCTTTGCTCCGTGTTGAATGTGTGGACTGCCTCATCTGCGCTCCACCGCCGCCTTGCTGCCTGTCCCACTTGCTTTGCATGTGGTTCTCTGCAAGTTGCTTGTGTTCGTTGTGTGGTGTTGTCGGTGTTGCCTTGCGCTTCGCTGCTTTGCTGCCTTGCTGCCCATCCGCTGGCCGTGCCTTCCATGTTTGCCGTTTGTGTGCCGTGTAGGTTGGTTGCCTTGTTGCCGGTGCCTTGTGCTCCACTGCACGATTGCCGAGCTGCTGGTCCGCTCGCCCTGTAGTCCCTTGCACTGTGGGGGCCTTGCTTGCGTTGTCTTGTGCTTCACTACACGGTTGCCACGATGCATGTCCTGCGTGCCATGTCATTCCTTGCAGTCACTTTTGGCGTTGTGCAGCTGTGTTGCCTCTATTATGTTGCATGGTGCTCTACAAGGTTGCTGCCCACTGCTATGTTCTGCTTGGGGACAATCTGCCTTCACCATGGTTCAGAGGGTTCATGACCCAAACCATCAAATACGAAGATCCTGCAGATTGTCGAGGGTTCAGCCTCTTGATGAGCCGATGCAACTCCGACGAAACAATCTATCACATACATGCAAGCACACCTCAAGCGGGTAGTTCCCGACGTGCGGCGCACGTGCCCAACCGATCCCGTGCGGTGCACGACATGTGCGGGAAACGACTCATCACCCCTCTCCGAAAAAAAAGAAGAAGGCCGGGGGTCGAAACGGTGCGTTTGAGACCCCCCGCCAAAATTATAAGCGGGATGAATTTTTTTTTTTGCAGGAGTGCTGCCTCATCTTGCTCCTCCTCCCCTTCCTCCTCCTCCATGTCTCCTCCTCCTTTCTCCTTTTCGTTTACTCCTTCTCGTCCTCCTCCTGCCCTCCATGTCTCCTCCTCCTGTTCGTCCTCCTCCTGTCCTTCCTCATCCTCCTTGTCTCCTCCTCCTCCTCGTACTTTGCCATCTTCCATGCCTCCTCCTCTCCTTACCTTCCCCATGTCCTCCCCTTCCTCTCCGTCCATGTCTCCTCCTCCTCCCACTCGTCCTCCTCCCACTCGTCCTCCTCCCGCTCTTCCTCTTTCCCTCTGTCCATCTCTTCTCCTCCCCCATATCTGCTCCTCCTCCTCGTAGTCGTCCTCGCTATTCTCGTCGTCCTCCTCGGCCACATCCTCCTCCTCTCCATGTCCCCCTCTACTCGCCATATCCCCAACTTCCTGTCATACGCCCCCCCCCCATCCCCCCTCCCAAAAAAATAAATAAATTATAATAATAATAAAAAACTTGCGCGATTCTGCATAGGCACCCCCTGCACGGAACTCCGCACGAATGTGCGGCGCGTGCGGTTGCAAGTATGATCTATCATCATCAATCTTTATTTTTTTCAGTTTTCGTGGTTTTGGTTCTTGCCTCGTCCGTTGGTTGTTGCCGTTTCCCTGCCTTATGTGCTGGTGTGTTGCCTGCCCTCCCGCCTCCCCAGTGCCCTCCAACCTATGTGTTGTCTTTTTTTTTGGTCCTTGCCTAGTCCACTGGTTGTTGCCGTTTTCCTGCCTGATGTGCGCGTGTGTTGTCTGCCCTCCCGCCTCCCCCATGCCCTCCAACTTATGTGTTCTCGCCCCCGTGTGCCCTCCAGTCTGCTGTACCTCGTCATCCAACAGTACATTACCTCCCTGCCCCTCGACGTTGTTGTCGTACCGTTGCGACCGTTTCTGTGTTTGTTTGTGATGTACTGTTGTGTGCGTACTGGGTCATACCACAGCTGTAATCGAGGCAATTGTGCTCCGGCATGGATTTTTCCCACCTTTCGCAGATGGATGCATCTGTCCCACGCCTACAAGTAAGCACTATGCACACTAGACGTCTTGGCCACGCCCTGTCAAGTTTGCATGAGTTGTGTCGCTGGTAGGGTACATTACGCCTGCTATGAGTAACCACGGTGTGCCTACACTTTCAGCGTTAGAGAATTTGCCTGGCATAGTGTTCGTGCCAAGGCGTGCCTGCGCGCACACACACACTCTCACGCGCGCGTTCACACACACAC